ATCCAACGACGTTGTCATGCTTATTCCACACCACTAAGCGACGCTACTGATCAAATACAGCTTGGTATAAGAAAAACAAAGGAAGAATGGGCCGCGACTGCGCAGTGGAGACGTGGATGTTGAAGCAGTTGTTGCTGTGTTTCTGTGAGTTTGCCTATGACCATGACTTTATTTACTTCATGTACATTATTATGTATAAAACATTTTTATCGTCGTAATGTTAATTATCGGATGTTTTAGTGAGAACAGAGCAAAACCGGAACTGGACAACATGCGTATGTGCTTTAGGAGGCAGCCATGACTTTTAGTTGTTGTTATCGCCATGATTGTCTTAAAAAATGTAAATATCATTGTGTGTTTAAAATCATTTTTCCACTCAGTATCTCTGATTTACATCATAGCAACATTTATCGACATTTTTTATGATTCGGCAACACCGAGGAAAAGGTTTCATGTACACGTTTAGGTATTTTCAAGTAGTTCCAGCCTGTCGTAAAGCAACAGCCCAACGGTGATCTATCTATCTATCTATCTATCTATCTATCTATCTATCTATCTATCTATCTATCTATCTATATGTAATTTAAATTTTTTATTTTATTTTAGTCGTTTACCATGGAACCAACAAGGCATTCTCCATCCCTTGTGTACAGAGGTTGTAATTGATATTTCTATAGTTATTCTACAGCACACAGGGAATGTTTTCCCAAAAAATTACTGGTCATGATTTTAAATTATACTTTAACATAGCTGAAGTTCAAATTTGACCAGGATTTAGCCCTTTCTCCACCTCCAGCTGTATGAAATCATGGTCCTCAACATGTCTCCACAGGACTGCATGAGCTGTCTAGTCCATTCCAGGGCAGGATGACCACAGAGCCTGCTCACCTAGAGATGCTGCAGGTGCTGTACCACAGCGATGATTTCATTGTGGTGGACAAACACTGGGACATCCGCATTGACAGCAAAATGTTTTACGAAAAACACACGGTGCAGGCCCAACTCCGGCATCGCTTCCCTCAGCTGGCAGATCCTAGCACCTACTATGGATTCAGGTGAGAAGAAGTCCTACAGTATAGCAGCTCATAAACAACATGTTGTTGAAGAATTAGGTCTTGAAGAACGTCTTCCCTCCCTCTGTAAGGTTCTGTCATCAGCTGGACTTCTCCACCAGCGGAGCTCTGTGTGTAGCATTGAATAAGGCAGCCGCAGGTCGAGCCTTTCGCTGCTTCAAGGATCGAACTGTCACCAAAGCCTACCTCGCCCTGGTATGGAACAGATCCAAACCTTAACGAAAACCCATGTACCTGGTTGTTGGCCGAGCGCCAAAATGAATATATATTTACTCAAACCTGAGCAACTATACATACATGTAAATCAGTATTTGATTACCTAAACAAATTCTCTTTAGATTCGTGGCTCGGTTGAAAAACAGAAACAAACTCTGGACTTCTCTATTGGCAAGAACTCCTCGGAGGGAAAAACACATATGATGTGCATCGAGGGAACAGAAGGTAAATAAATCATTGAACTATTTTATGTCTAAGACACGTCAGGGGTTTTTTTTCTTAATGCAAATGAATGTCACGGTAACTTGAAAAGTTATGCATCTCAAACTTAATGCTTCAACTGTAATAAAAAGTTGATTTACCTCACCACTCTATTTTCTAAACATAAAGAGGTCTTAATAAATAATGCAGTGCTACAAAGAGACCCAAGACCTCAGTTTATTAATGCTGTTACTGTTAAGATCCATTGGCACTAATATGATGTGCAGCAGTGTTTTTGTGAACATTTCCTGACTGAATGCATTGAAGTAAGAGCTGCCAACAGGAGAAGCTGAACCATTTTTAGTTAAGATATAATATACGTATGTTATGTTTCTTGTTGTTTCTGATTAAATTCCTCCCCAGGCTGTGAAAACCCTAAGCCTTGCCAAACTGAGCTGACAGTGTTGGAGTACGGGCTGTATGATGGAGATCCTGTCACCAAGGTGCTGCTGCAGCCACTTACTGGTAATGACACGATTGTTAATATTAAGTGAAGTACTTTAGATTAAAGTGGTTTCATATTTAACCAAACAAATCCATTAAACACAACACGAAAAAGCCAAGTCTGCACTTACTCGACTGATGGGGGAAAAAAATACTAAATGAGTAATTTGATCAAATTGATTATTTTCATTCTTCCTTAAATAATTTGTATAATGTAAAAATTAGTTTCTTATTAAAATGCTGTATTTGTTGAACAAATAACTGTCAGCTGCAAACTGTATAATGTAAAAATCAGTTTCTTATTAAAATGCTGTTGAACAAATAACTGTCAGCTGCAAAACCAAATTAAAAATGTTTCTTTGTTTGCAAGACATTTTCTTTTTTTTTTGTTATATCACAATTGTGTAAAATAGACCTGTCCTTTTTATTTGTTGCCATATTTTTTTATTAAATTATTTCAATGTATGTCTTACCTTAATAATTACCTCATTTAATTTCATATGTTTTAAGTGTGTGGCTACTTGACAACTGGAATTTAATGGTTTAATATGGTTTAAGTGTGTGGCTACTTGACAACTGGAATATCACTAAATTGTACGCTTTTATAATCACTCAAACACGACTACAGATCATCCTCACCTCTGCGTCTGTCTGTTCTCTCCCAGGCAGAACTCATCAGCTAAGAGTCCATTGCGGTGCCATAGGTCACGCCATCGTTGGTGACTTCACATACAGCTCAGGAGCAGACGACGCCCCCTACAGAATGATGCTGCACGCTCACCTCCTCCACATTCCCTTAGAACCTCAGCCCCTGCTGGTCTCTGCTGGAGACCCTTTTATCCCCACAGTGGATCCAAAATGGATTCCACAGCGCTCGGTGAGGACAGTGACGGCCACTGTGAAGGCCCTGCTGGAGCGCAGGTTGGAAGAAGACAGGAAGATGAAAGAGGAGGCAGAAGTGAGGGCCCGGAGGGAGAAAGAGGAGGAGATGGAGCGAAAGAATAAACAGAGGACTGAGGAGGAGAGTGAGGAGCACAGGAGGCTGTGTCATCAGTGGCTGAGTGATTGGGCTGCAGAATGACAAGCGGTTTTATTTCATTATTTATTTTAATTTATGAAAGTGTTTTAAATGTTGTGCTTTGAGTATTTGCATTTTATTTCAGTGAATGTCACTTTTCAAAAACACAGGTATAAGTGGACCACTTCTGTCAAACAACTCTGAACACAGGGCTAAAGATTCCAGGCTCATCTTTAAAAAAAAACTGTGTTTCTACAGCAGTAACAGCAGTTAAAGCCATAAAGTTGTTAAATCCTGGTTAAAAGTCTTAACAGTTATGTTTCTGTGCCAGAATCTGTCTTTAAACCAAGTAAAATAAGCTAATGTTAACTTGCACATGTTTTACTTAGCGTTTTGTGGTGTGCAGTTTGACAGATGAACAGGTGCCTTTTCTCTCTGTATGTCGACGGATAAGAGTGAGAGTCATGTTTGACAGGTGACAGGAAATGTCACATGACATGTTGACATTTGATCAATTTTAATGTCGAACGTTGAATGAATCGTGTATTTAGTCGCTTTTGCATGAATGTTTGGAAAAATAAATCCAGGTTGAAAACCTGTTTGCAACACTGTGTACTACTGGTGGGAGATGGTTACATTGTCTTTTTAAATTTTAGATTTAATTGTTTTACCAGGGTTTTTGCTTATTATGTGCGTCATAAATCGAAATTTGAGGAGTTATACTCAATGAGACTGTTTTGTGAAGAGAACGACATTACCCACAATCCCCTTAGTTGTTAGCCTATGTGGTCGCAGCCGTGCTTTCTCACTTTAGCCACAAGAACTAAAGGTGTTGTACAAACGAGAGTGAAACTCTGGTCGTATTTTTTAACTATTGTAGTAAAAATGAGCTTCGAGGTTTTTTCGTACGAGAGTTTGGTTCACGCCGTGTCTGGTGCAGCGGTAAGCTAACCACAATCTCCATTGCATGTATTAGAAATATGTCATTTTTCGTTCTGCCAGGCACAGAAGCGTAGTTTTCGTATTTGAGCTATTTAAACCTGAACCTCTTCTGGCAAAAGCACCATTTCCGAAATGATATTTACAATATGGTCATACGAATATAACCTTAGCTTTAGCTTAAAAGTGTTTTTTGTTTGTACTTTACGCACTTTCCAAAATCCTATTCTTATTTTTCCTCCATGACATTTTGACTAATATTGGCCCTCGTAGAGTGAAGTGCCTGTAATTATTCCTCTAAATGTCCTTTTCCAGGGAAGTGTTACTGCGATGACAGTGTTCTTCCCTCTTGATACAGCCAGACTAAGACTTCAGGGTAAGAAGCAGCTGAATTAAACACTAGCATTGGCAGGGATGTGGGTTATTAGTATATTGATTAATTATTATTATTATTATTATTATTATTATTATTATTATTATGACTCTGGTCTTTTGTTGCCATACAGTGGATGAAAATAGGAAAGCCAAATCAACTCCAGCCATTCTGGCAGAAATCATCAAAGAGGAAGGACTGTGAGTGGAAACTAAATGTGGAGTTATTTTTAACGCTTCACAACCGTCTCCAACATTTAAACCTGAAACACTGAAAAAGCACAGCAGTTTGCATATCTACCCTGCTCTTGTGACATTGTGTTTTCTACCTTCTGTCTTCCACAGTCGAGCCCCGTACAGAGGCTGGTTCCCCGTTATCTGTAGCCTGTGTTGCTCCAACTTCGTCTACTTCTACTGCTTCCACAGTTTAAAGGCCCGTTGGCTGAGAGGAAAACAGTCGGTACCGTCCACTGATTTACTCATAGGCATCACTGCAGGTGAGCTGGGAATTTTATGTCATAAAAAAAAAAATACATAACCACGTATTAGTATTGGTCTTGTCTTTGTAGGTGTTGTAAACGTACTCGTTACCACACCACTGTGGGTGGTCAACACCAGGCTGAAGCTCCAGGGTTCCAAGTTTCGCAATTCCGATATCAGGACAACCAACTACTCTGGCATCCTGGGTAAAATACAGTTAGTGGTATAGCACCTATGATTCTATGTTATGTTTTGTCAGTATTTTTAAGGTTTTTTTTTTGCTATTACATTATTTTACCACAGTAATTTTCTTCCTTCTGCCTCTTCTTACAGATGCATTTGTTCAGATAATCCGTGACGAGGGTGTGGGAGCTTTGTGGAATGGAACCTTTCCATCATTACTGCTGGTGCTGAACCCTGCCATCCAGTTCATGATCTACGAGGGTCTGAAGAGGCAGCTGAGGAGAGGGCCTCCCAGGGAGGTGGGTGATGATAACAAGAAGGCAGGGAAGGTTTTGAAAATAATTTATTATTATTATCAATGTTTTATAAACTAATATCATTTGAACATCTGTGAAACACAAAACTTTTTTTTTTTTGAAAAAAAAAACCCCAATTCATCCTGTTAACTGGATGACTAGACACCTGAAATGCAGAGCTTGGTATTTGCATTCACATGAGTTTCTTTTCATCTTTAACATGGTGAGGGGGCCTATTCACATTCTACTTAAAAGAAAACTGGGAAGTCTAAAGCTCAAAGGTCTCAGAATATAGCTGCACATTTCTGACAACCAAAAATCAAATGTTTTTTTTTTGTTTGTTTTTAGCTGTCATCTGCTGAAGTCTTTATTATCGGTGCTGTGGCCAAAGCTGTGGCCACCTCTGTAACATATCCACTGCAGACCATACAGTCCATTCTTAGGGTAAGTTTTTTTTTTTGTAAATATAATGTAATAGTATATATCATATAATATTATATAATGTCTTTTAAACCACAGTTTGGTCAACACAACCTGCCAAGGGATGAGCCAAAAATCATGTCGAGTCTCAGGACAATAAAAAATCTACTGCTCCATAGAATAAGGTAAAGACACACACACACAGTTTGCTCACACAATCTAGCTTTTCTTTAATCATGTTGTTTTCATGTAGGTTTCCACTGTATCAATATGGAATTACCTAGTAAGAATTAAAAATATAAATGACTGTTTAATCCAATCTAAACTCACATTGGTGCAACTTCACTTTGCGTTACTCACTGCAGCAACCATGTATTCTAAGCCTGATTTTTCTTTCGCAGAAAGTACGGCATGTTGGGTCTGTTTAAAGGCCTGGAGGCCAAGCTGCTCCAGACAGTGCTGACTGCCGCCCTCATGTTTCTTCTGTATGAGAAGATTGTCAGCTGTACCTTCACTGTGATGGGACTCAGGAAACACTCCAAGGGACACTAGCAAGTTGATTTACAACGTTGGACTCTGCATGGCAATTAAAACACTAGAGAAATAACTAAGTAGCTCTTCATAATGTACATGATTTGCACACATATTTTTCTACTGGAAACACACTTTGTATGTTAACAAACATCAAAATTCAACCATTAAAATTGGTATTATTGTGACATTCTTTGCTTCTTTTAATTTAGATTTTAATGTTTTTGCCTTGTTTGCTGTTTTGTCTTGTATTGTCCAGCACTGATTGTTACACAGTGAATGATTTAAAGAACTTTATATGACCAAATAATATTTTCTGTTTTCGGCTGTTGCCCCTAGGGGTCGCCAAAGTGGATTTTAAATTTTAGATTAAATGCGATACTATTAAGCAACAGTATTATACACGTGTAAGTAACACGTTGTTGAAAATACATGATTTTGAGTCATATGTGCTGAAATATTCCGTTACCGACGATGGTAGTTACGTCCACAGTCCTTTTACGTAAAGCGTCAGCGTAGGGAGGCACTCACGTGGAGGACGAATGTGACAGATCCACGCGGCTCCACTGTGAAGCGCCACTCTGTCCATCCCGATAACTTACAGATCGAAGGATATCTTTACGTGACGCGGCACCGCTGGACTTTTGTTATTACGTAACTGTGGACGACAGAGAGACTCTCCGCAATAACAATAGTTTGAGGTGGAATTGTGCCTTCTTTCAGCGACATGGAACCCACACAAGCGAAATACGCCGAAAAGCACTGTGTCCTGTGCTGTCAAGAAGTGGAAATCTTCGCCGTGGGAAAGTGCGACCACCCGGTTTGTTACCGCTGCTCCACGAAGATGAGGGTGCTGTGTGAACAGAAGTACTGCGCCGTCTGCCGGGTGGAGCTCGATAAGGTAGGCGATACTACAACACGGGGATGGCGCTTTGTTTTGCTAACTAGGCCTTGTCGACCTCTTAGTTCAATAATAAACTAGAAACCCTTCAAATATTAGAAACCAGGTCTCAAGTGATGTCTTAAAATGTTGTTATTGTTCTTAAAATGTTATTTTGAATAAATAGCTACTAACACTGTCAGTTAGACACCCAGACGGCTCGCTGTCAGTAGCTTAGGTGACGTAGCTAAAGCTAACCTAGATCCATAAATCCGGCATGTTAGCAGTAGCTAGTTAGCCCCTTTATAAATACAGATAGACTTTTGTCACATTTTGCCTCAGTAAAAAAAGTTGTTGTTGTTCTGATAATTTAACCTCCCTTTTTGTTTAATAATGTTTTCTCTCTTCTTTTTTTACATTTCCCTTCGGATACATGAAATGGGAAATGTACTGTTTTACAATTGTAATAACTTTGTGAACCAGTGTGACTTCAGTGTTGCTTGTTCACAGATTGTGTTATGTTTTACTTTCACGCTGACACAGTTCTGGAGAAAATGAAACAGTTGCTGTCAGTTTCATTTCAGCCAGCTACGTGGACATAAACCATATGGACAAATAACTTAGATAAGGCCACACCCAAATGGTGTGATGTATGAGGAAATGTCAAAAAGATGGTCCAAAGACACCTGAGTTAGGATGGAGACATTTACTGAAGAGATGATTCCAAGTCTGACTGGAATTTTTATTGTACAAACCCAGAGACAGTACTGGAATCATTATTAGCTCAGACATAAGATATATTTATATATATATATATATTGTGGAGAGGGAAACTATTTCACCCCCCAACAGTATTGGTCACACCCTCTTTCTTGTTGTGTTTTTTCAGGTGATCTTTTTGAAAAAAGTGGACGCCTTTGCCTCTCTGTCCTTCCTGCACTTTCCATGTGAGAAGCAGCATGGCATCTACTTTGGAAACGAGATGATCTACGCTAAGTACAGGTGATTTTTGTCTGTGTTTGAACCAGTGGAATGTGACGATAAGCTGAGGGGTAGTTTTTTTTATCTAAACCCTACTAATATAGCTAACATTTGGTGCAGTGCAGATGAACAGCCCCATCTGTTAAACATTATAGGCCTTCAGCTTTATCACAGTTTGAATTGTCTCTTAATTACGTGCTGTGCGTTTGTTTGTTTTAGGCACCTGCTGCTATCAGAGTGTATCCACTGCCCAGAACCGAAGGTGTTCTCCAGATTTGAAGAACTGGAGCAGCACATGAGGAAACAGCATGAGCTTTTCTGCTGTAAACTCTGCACAAAGCACCTCAAGGTAAAAAAAAAAAAACAACTGTCTATAATAATGTTAAAGTGTCACATTACAAACCTATTTAACAACAAGTTGTCTTGATGTCCAGATCTTCTCCTACGAGCGTAAGTGGTACAACCGTAAGGAACTGGCACGTCACAGAGCACATGGTGATCCGGACGACACCAGTCACAGAGGACATCCACTCTGCAAATTCTGCGATGACCGATACCTAGACAACGACGAGCTGCTCAAACACTTGCGCAGGGACCACTACTTCTGCCACTTCTGTGATGCAGATGGTTCTCAGGAATATTATAGGTGCGAATCACAAACACCTTTTTGTCACTAATGGGGAATACTGGGGGAAAAAAAGATGATGTAACTCATTGTTTGGTCTCGCTTCTAAACAGTGATTATCAGTACCTAAGTGAACACTTCAGAGAGAGTCATTATCTGTGTGAGGAGGGCCGCTGTGCCTCAGAACAGTTCACCCATGCATTCCGCACTGAGATCGACTACAAGGCCCACAAGGCTGCAGCACACAGCAAGAACCGAGCAGAGGCTCGACAGAACCGTCAGATTGACCTGCAGTTCAACTACGCCCCCAGGCAGCAGAGGAGAAATGAAGGTCAGTGATTAATGTCGTGGTTTTTGTTACTTCAGCCTAATTATGACCTCAGTCATTCAGTTTGTTGTCTGTTAGTTTGAGGCAAATGTACATGAATTAACACAGGTGCAAATTCTCAGGTTTCGTGTCAGGTGAAGATTATGAAGAGGTGCGATTCAACCGAGGTGGAAGAAGACAGCCTCGTGGGGGTGGGGGACAGAAGAGCTGGAGATATTCCCGGTGAGAACCAATGACCAACAGTGTGTGATTTATTCTGTCCACACCTTCCTCTTTTAATCTTTCCAACATGATTGTTTGCTTGCCTTTGAAGGGAGGAGGAGGACAGACAGATGGAAGCTGCCATGAGAGCATCCATGGCAGTACGTAGACAAGAGGAGAGAGCAATGATGCAGGAAAGGAATGTTTTCAGAGAGGAGAGGAAGGAGAGACCTGAACAAGAAGAGCCCCGACACAAGAGTGGACCCATCAAAGCCACGAGCAAACCTCCAGGTGAAAAATGGTTCAATTTAATAAAATATAATAAGGTTCTGGTTTTCTGTGTCTGTGTTTTACTGACATGTGTTCTGTCTACAACAGTTAAAACAATGAAGAGCAGTAATCTTAGAGAAGAAGAGGATTTTCCAGCTTTGGGTGCAGCAGCTCCGACACCTACCTACCCAATGTACTTTCCTAAAGCAACTCAAAATCTCATTCTAGATTTTGTCTATAAAAGGTTTAATTTCTGTTGCTTTGTCTCCCTCTAGTGTAAAGTCTGCTCCCGCTTTGATGCCAGTGACCCCTGCAGCTTTGAAGGAGGACGACTTTCCGAGTCTGTCAACTGTCTCTGTTGCCGCTCCCATGACCCCTGCATACTCCGCACAACCCAAGAAGTCTTCCTCTTTCCAGGAGGAAGACTTCCCTGCCCTTGTGTCCAAGGTTCGCCGGCCCAAACCTGCAGCAGGCACCGCGTCTGCTTGGTCCAACAATACTGCCCATAATAAACCAACTGTTCAGCTTCCACCTCCTTCGTCCAGAGCTACTCCTCCCCTTACATCTTTATCTTCGGGACCCCAGCTTCTCTCCTCCTCCTCCTCCTCTTTGTCATCTTCATCTTCACGTAAGAAAAAGAAAGTAGGAGAGAACGGGAAGGCAGCTCCTCCTCATTCCCCTCCCACCTCGGACGATGAGAGCAAAGGGATGACACAGCAGGAGTTCCGTTCGGTGCCCACCATGTTGGACATCTCATCTCTGCTCACTGTAAAAGGAGGCAACACCAAACCATCGAGTGTCACCCCCAGCTCTTCAAACCCGGCCCCCAACAGTGATGTCTCTACCTCCAAAGCCAGCAAGAAGAAAAAGCAGCAGAAGAACACTACTACTACTACGTCTGCGCCCGTGTCTTCACCTGCGACGACAGCTGTGAATACAAAGACGGTGGAAACAACGGCACAGAAGGAGAACGTTCCTGAGAAAAGCAGCAACAAACCTCTGACTAGCTCAGTGGTGGCAGCACTGAGCAGTGGATTGGCCAACGGCCATCCTGAGAAACCAACACCCATGAATAAGGAAACTACGTCAGTGGCTTCACATCCAAACATAGACCAGCTTCTGGAACAAGAAGAAGAATTTCCTGCTCTTATAACCAAGAAACCTCCACCAGGTACATCAGACCAATGTCCTCACTTGTTTGTGTGTATCCTTAACTTGCTGCCCCCCCCCAATTGGTCAGTATGCTGCATTATGTTTCATTCATTCATTCCATCCTGCCCCTCCTGAGGATGTGCCCCCCACTTTGGGAACCTCTGCACTAGGTTGAGTTATAGAATCATGACTCACTGTCTTCACTATTTCATTGCTGTCTCTTTTCCTTAGGCTTTAAGAGCTCCTTCCCATTGAAGGCTTCAGCTGCTGCCTCGTCCTCCTCCGTCACTCCTTCTCCTCCACCACCACCAGGTCTCGGGGTCTCAGGACCTAAACCCCCTCCAGGCTTCACTGGGATACCCATCAACAGTAATGTAGTGGAAACTGCTCCTCCACCTGTAAACCAGTAAGTGTCTGAACAGATGTTAGTTATATTATTGAATTTTATTTACTTTGTTGATCTTGAGTTGTTTCAAATAAATGATCAGAATTTTTGTAATTTTTTTACAAGGCCTCCCAAGGTACCAAGTACTGGATACTTGGTTCCAGAGAACTTCCAGCAGAGAAACCTGGAGCTGATCCAGTCCATTAGAAAGTACCTGCACAACGACGAGTCCAAGTTTAACCAGTTCAAAAACTATTCTGCTCAATTTAGACAAGTGAGTTCCCAACGCATGGGTTAAATGTACATGTGTAATGTATTATTCTTAGGGGTTCTTTACTACCTGGATTCCCAAGTAAAGTTCTGCCTTCATTCCCAGGGTGTTATTTCAGCAGCTCAGTATCACCGCAGCTGTAAGGACCTGCTGGGAGACAACTTCAACCGCATCTTCACTGAGCTGCTCGTGCTCCTGCCGGACACTGGCAAACAGCAGGAGCTGCTGAGCGCTCACGGAGACTGTAGGGCCATGGAGAAACAGTCGGGCACCGGAGGGGGAGGAGGAGGAAAGAAAAACAAGAACAAGAAGAACGCGTGGCAGACTCCGACGTCTGTGGCTAACGTGGCAGCAGAGCTGGAGTGTCAGGTGTGCCCTACCTGCAGACAGGTGCTGGCCCCCAAAGACTTCAACTCCCACAAAACCCTGCACCTCGGGGAGAGGGAGGAGTTTCCCTCATTGCAGTCGATCAGCAGGATCATTAGCTAGCACCTCTGTTTGCACCGTTCTGCTGTTTTGGAACACCTTTTTTTTTTTTCAATTTCCTCTGCAGCTCAGTCGAAACCCTGCAGAGAGCAGCACGCAGCGCAGCCTGTGGACCGAGCTTTTCAGATAAGTTAGACGATGGATTAAAAATGATTCATGTTTTTGTTTGGTTTCTGAGGATGATTATGTTTACAGCTCTTTGGTAATGGTTTTTCCAGTTCACTCCCACAGGTTGGTGTCGGCTGAGATTTCCAGCTGGCACTGGCGTCGCCGATAAACAGTTATTAATTTACTGAAGAGCTGAAGTTTTACTTGAAGAAATATCTGCTCCTATGTTCATTAACTATTATTTAGTACAAATATTTGTTCTTCAAAACCAGAAATAGGGATGTTCAGAGTTCATGAACCTTTTGTACAAGTGCAGAGTAAATGAACAAGTTCAGCTCAACCTTTAGTTCTATATTTATTTAAGCAAAGCTTTGAATGCTTTTGATCGTCTGCTGCTTCATACGGAACAATTCTGCTCATGATGGTTCTTTGTTGAGCATCATGTAGAAGAACACTTAGAACAAACTTTTTTGTTTTGAAGGAATTTTTGCATTTTCCAATGTGTTCTGTTCATATCCCTCACCAGGAGACTGAACTGGTTCATCAAAGTTAAACTGGTGGCTCACACTTTTTTCAATAATGGAAACTAAAGTCTTTAACAATGCAACAGTGTCCTGGTCTGATTTTAGAGTTTTCACCTGTCTTTATTAAGGTTGAAAGGTTCTTTTATTTCTCCAGAATTTCATTGCTCTCCATCTAGTCCTGCTCATCAACCATTGGCTCGTTGTGGAACCCCTCCTCCTTGTGGCTGCTCTGTACCCTCCCACTGATGAGCTTTCATCGTTTGGTTTGAACTTTACCCCGACTGAGGGACGCAGAGGGAGAGAGGTATGTGACTGTACAAACACTACATCAGTGTAATCATGTCACAGCGAGTTAATCAAACACATGGTGATGTCTTGTGATAAACTGGGTTATGTTGCATAGTACTTGAAATGATATTTTGAGCATAATGTCAAATATTTACAGTTATGTTCAGTGGGTCTTTCAGAATGCATCATATAAGCCATAGATATAAATATATAAATGAATGTATTGTTAGAGTGATGAATTACAAACCCAATTTCCAATTCCTTTTCTAAAAATAATTAACTAATTATCAGCTAATACTTTATCTTGGTTGTGTGTTTTTACATTCATTTAAAAGATTTTTGGTGGTGACGTGAGAGACAAATGATCCAACCAAGGTATTTTTCTTTTATTTTGAATGACAGTCAGACTGCAGTCCAGAGACATTCAGGTACTTGACGGTGACACACATCTCTGTACACAGCATTTTTACACTGAAGAGATCAAACAGCTTCAGATAAACAGGAAGAAACGAGTACATGAAGGTAACACACTACAAAGTCAGTGTTTGCTCTGTCAACCTGTTGATGGGGATACATGTTCATCATTAGTTCTAAGGGTAAAAAAAAACAAAAAACAAACCCACAAAACAATTACGTGCTGATTGATTATAAGAGTTTTAAATTATTTCCAACAAAGATTTTATTCTAGCTCATAAATAAGAATCATTTTTTTTCTGATTAATACAGGACAAGCCAGACCCTGGACATCTTCAGACACGGGTTCCACTTACTTCAATAACATACTGTATTTAACAATCAACCAATACCACAGTAGTGAACATGGGCCAGAGCACAAAACACACAAATGTTTGTTTTATTATCATAAGAATTTTTTTTTTTACTACACTGAAAAGACTGAAGCACTGAGAACAATAATACCAACCTGACCTGACCTGTAGCCTAATACCTCCATCTACACTTGACCCCAGTGGCACACAACCATTGATCAGGTCATGAGTGGACCATTTACACCCATCAACATTTCTGGGACTACACTGATTTTTTTTTTTTTTTTTATTTCATACTTTCCATTTCTGCCAAACATTTAAATTCCTGATTGATTCAATTCTAAGTGAGGAGCAATAATGAAGTAGTTAAAGGTCACAGAGCCAAACACCCCCGACATCACCCTGTTTAGGTCAACTTTAGGTCAATTAGGAATTTTACATAAACTTAATCCAAAAATATATTTTGACATGTGAACCAAAATATTATAATATCTCTATTCTGTTTAATGGAAGAGATTTTTAATCCTAAATTATACTGAAGTTAAATACTAAATCTAAATCTGGAATTTTTAAATTTTTCTAATTTAAATTGGAGTCTGGAACTCTGTTCAGTTTTTTAAGGAGGTGAAAATGAAGAAAAATAAATAAATTATGCAAATGAAGTTAGAATAAAGCTGAGCTAAAAATCACTGTATAAAGTATAAAGTCTGACGCTGTGATTCATGGAACACTGTCAGCTGCAACAATGGCTGCCCAGTCTCACTCAACTTAAGAATGACACAGTATTCAATACATAATGATTCTTCTACAACAACTCCATGCATTACTATTAATACTTTATATATATATGTATTTATATTAATATCGTCGTCATAATTACTTTATAAAAACAAAGCCGCAGCTGTCCCCGTGCTGCAGAACCACCTCTGTTCAGCAGAGGGCACTGTCTAGGAGGATTAGTTTTAGAACAGGTAAAGCTTCTTACCTGATGATCAATTGACTGTTATTTGGGGATGAAAAACACTTGATTTTTTTTTTCTGTTTTATAACTTAGTGACACCAATATGTTTTTTGTGGAAATTATTTTATAATTAAGACAAACACTTTTTCTCCTCTGCACCGACGCAAACATACATTTGATGAAATAACTGTCATGGAGTTACAGACAGCACACGCCTGTACACATGCACGCTTACATACATGTACACACACACACTGTGGTTATAAAATGTTCACACACACCCCTGTTAAAATACTCCTCGTGTCCATAATGTTTTCCGTCTTTACAGAATTATAATATATTAAAGCACTCGTATAAAAAACCCCATATTTTACAAGCATGATGTTTCACATTGAATAGTAATTTTATGACCAGAAATTTTAATTACTAATTGTGTCCAATTACTGTAAGTTTCATTTTATGGCAGTTTTTCAGGGGTGTGCAGACATTTTATATCCACTGTATATTTGTTATATGTCCACACACACACACACACACACACACACACTGAACATGTTCACTGATGGCAAGTGTATGTCAACCACGACACAGAGACTCTGCTACACACGGACACAGTTGTCATGGTTACTATCTACATCATTAGTGATCCACATCCACCCACCCATCCCTGTCACCATGGTAACAAATTCTGACCCGTCTCCGTCAACAGCAGGATTCAGAATCGATGACTTAGCGAGCTAGTCATTTTGTTTTGGTCTTTCTTTTTTCTTTCCTTAAGACTGAACTGAATTTCTCCAGCGCCCTGACCTGTCGCCCCCCCCCAGACCCTAGTGCTTTGTGATCACCCACAATCCCACTGATATTAACACCGTAGTAGTAATATGTTAATCAGAAGACAACAATAAGAACGAAAGGGCAGTTTGGCAGCTTCTTAATCAGCATCTCAGCACTCACATCCTGTATTATGCACATGACAATCAACATACGGCACTGGCTCAAAGATCACATGACAGTTATCGGCGTCATGGACGGGCGACTCTCTCTGTGATACTAATGACTGATGATAGTTAGTGTAAAATAAACGGATTTAGTTTAGACGAGAAGGAAGAATTAAAGCTTTGTCGTACACTGTCAGACTTTTCTACAAAATAGAAAAACTGGCTTTAGAAGAATGAAAATGTAATCTTACACTCAGTTCTTACGTCAGGGTTGTGACAGTTAAAGACGAATAGCAGTTTGGTCAACAACTGATAAAAAGTAAGAGGAAAATAGTCATTTTTACTGTAGAACAGGGCTCTTTCCAGAATTTTGTCTCACGTCTTTTGGAAGAAATACTAATTTTAATTGCCTGAGATCTGTCAGTCATTTGAGACAGTGCCTTTATGAACCACCGGGCCTGATGGAGCCTCGCCTCAATAAACCACAGCACATACAGAACGTCATGATATATATATACATATATATGTATATATATCTATATATGCATATATATTTTACAGTTTTTGTGAAAATCTAAACTAAATCGAGTCACTGTCTGAAATACACAGTGCTGTATGGCACTTGGTCAGTCTCTAAGTTTGAAAACATGCAGATTCAAAACTACATGATGACTTTTCACTGCAATGAAGGAAAAAACAAAACAAAACAGGAGGAGGAACGACCAGACTGTAGTTACTGCTTCTATTTCATGTAAGAGAAAAGAGTAGGATGAAGGTCCTAAATGTTTTCATCCTCTCTCTCTCTCTCTCTCTCTCTTCTGATTATACCGCTCCTGCTGTAGAGCTGGAAAAGCCATGTTCAACAAAGCCACAGGTCTAACTGACACAGCTGGAATGTTACGGAGGACATTGGAACGAGAGGAGGAAACAAAGAAGGAGAACCCCTGTTTCTTTTCTTTTCTTTTCTTTTTTTTTATCAGTTATTGAAAACTGCTCAGCTCAGACCTACATAGAAATGACTGCACGTACAACATCACAGAAAGAAAGTTTCTTTAACTTAACTCTCAACCCTTTCCTGGATCCTGATTTTCCACCATCAGCTCTATCTTCAGTAAATAGGAACCTGGTATGTGGGCGCTGTGTTGTTCTCGGTGAATGGTGGGCTCTGGTAGGTCTCTGTGGTCTCAGTGTTGCCGCCCCCTGGTGAGTTGGAGGGGTAAGGCTGTGTGGGTGCGCCACCATCCATGTGCTCTGTGGTGAACAGGCTCATGTCTGTGCCCAGCAAATACTTCTGGACGGCACGCACTGTTAGACCAGCCTACAGAGGCAGGGAGGGAGGAAGAAATAGTTCTTTTTAGTACTAAAAATACACTGCTGTTGCATGCTTATTAAACAAATGAAGTAATATTACAAATTAGGGGTTTCTTTTGAGAAAATAAAGAAAATATTCAAATTAAAAGTAATTTGCCCTGCCCTGCTGCACTTGCCCAGTAATAGCTCTGCGCCCCCTACTTTGGGAATCCCTGGTTTAGATAATGTTTCTCCAATGTTTTTTCAAGCATAATAATAATAATCTATTGTAGGGAAGTGTATAGCAGTTAATATGAAAACCCCAGATCTAAATACCTGGTCACCTCTGTGTTTTCACATCCTTACCCAGGTAATTATGGAGAAGAAGGAAAAGGCTATTGCTGCCCGTGCTGCATCTGCCCCCTGGTTGAGTGGCAGCTCATCAGCCGTGGTCCGGGACCACTGATTGGCCAGGAAACAGAAGCTCACGAAGTACAGGAAGGCCCAAAAACCTGCCAACACCAGAGTGAAGGTGGAGTGAAACTAAAAATAAGTTCAAACCTCCAGTTCGTTTGTTCCTTCAGGAAAAGTTTTTCTCCTCACCAGAGAAGCCGATCTCGAGCATCACAGCCTTCTTCCTGTCTTTGACCGAGCTGATGGAGGCGAACTTGTAGTCCAGGAGGAAGAAGAAGGAGCAGGCCAGGAGGCCGACGAGGCCCACGAACACGCCGTAGTTACAGGCATCTGCATTCTTGTTGAAGACGCAGTGGAGCCGCTCGCTGCCCATGTTGACATAGCCCTCGTTGACAATGGAGGCGAAGACCACCAGAGAAAATATCTGTGGATGGAAGACAGGAGAGATGACGAACAGCCAAAATAATGAGTGGTATAAAAAAGGTACGTCTCTGTGTTCAGCTGTTTTTCTTGCCATTGACTGAACTGTATCTCACAGAAGAAATGATTGTTGGATTGTAGTGATCTGTTAAATCAAGACAATATTACAGGACATTTTGAACTGCAACTAAAACACAGCACAGTTAAAACATGACGGTCATGACAACAGTAGAACCGCAATGGAACCTGCGCTGTTTATTCTTACTCACCACTGCCCCCTGGTGACAAATTAAGTGTTTTGAATCAAAGTAAAACTAGACTTTCCTCAAAAATATATAAATAGTAGAGCATTTAAACATGAACAGTTTTTAAGCCGAATAATCATAGGATAGCTGTGATTTAGTCGTGATTAATCACGTGATAAAAACACAACAAACTGGAAAGCTAAAAAAAAAAAAAAACCCCAAAGGATCATAAAAATAGCTCTAAGAATTTGGTACATGTGACAATCCGTCATTCTCTTCATATGACCGGACAGTGGACGAGCTTTCTAAACAAAAAGGAAACATCTGGAGAAACGTGTTGGAGAATATGAAGATGTTTTTTAGACTTCCCTTAAAATCAATGTTGTTGTGAATTGAAATGCACAAAATCGAGGTCTCAGGAGCATTGACTGAGCTCTGGAAATGAAGCAGCTTGACAGTTGTTTTTGTAAACAGTTGCAACACTGGTCTGGTTTCTCTGTACGTCCTCAGACCGTGAGCATTAACCTAATTTCACCTCCTTCTCTACGACTGACCAAAGACTAGGACGCTTGACTTCCCATCAGAGAATCAAACCGCCCTCAGGCAGTTTTTGATTTGACGGCGTGTACGTGATAAAAGCAGCCTCAGCCTCTGCTGCTACTACTACTACTACTACTAATACTACTATTACTACTAATACTGCAGTACAACATACAGATGAGTATTTTCCTCTTTGCGTCTGTTCTCTCGGCTCATGTCTCTGCCTCCCTCCATCCATCCCTCTGTTCAGACACTGATCAGCTGACCAACACTCCATGGTAGAATAGAACCATGTGACACACACACACACACACAGGAACACACACACACACTCGGGGGTTTGGGTCATATGATAGCAGAGGTGCACACAATGGGATAATGTCAGGTCCACATTTTAGACTAATCACATGTGTGGGAATAATCTGGTCAGATACAAAGGCTGCTTTTAATGGATCTGCTAACTCATGGTGTGGACGCATCTCCAGCAGCACAAAGGAAAATGGGAGGTTGACCAAAAAATGCTTAACGTTCCTTCCCGGTTGTTTTTATATGTACATTTTAAATAATATCAAGAGCTTTAATTGGTTGTTTTTTTATTTTAAAAAGTGAGTTCTTTTCCCACAGCTTTTTTTTCACATCACCATAACATTTGTGTGTTTTCGTTTTCCCACAGCTTTTTTTTTCCCACATCACCATAACATTTGTGTGTTTTCTATAACGGATCAGCATCACATCTGTGTAAGTGCTGTGGCAGCAGAGGTATGCTGTGTTTTCAATGATTTGTCTGTTGACCCCGTCTTGATCTTTGACTGGAAAATTTTGATTAAGTGTTTTTGAAAAATCCCTGCACACTATACTTGAAGTATTATGGTGGTGGTCTTCAGTACAAGTCTTTATCTGACAGCTGTGTTTGGAGTAGCTGATGAACTACTCCAAACCGGTGACATATTTAACCGACATCTGGCCTTTAAATGCCAGCCCACACCACCCCCGGACCCACGGTCCACCTGCACTGGTCAGTCAGTAACCCAGCTAATGTTACACAAGACAAACAACATTAGGAACTGTTTTAACCTTCACGCTGAAGCTCTCCTCGGTGTTTTACTACCACACAGAGCGTCAGGACCTTCCCGTGTCACACAGAGGTGACGCGTTACATCAAACGTCAGGGACACGACGCGGCTCCGTGGCCCAGCGTGCGTAAACGTGTCCTCGGACCAATCACAGGTGAGATGACGGACGACGACCGTGTAGGAGAAAACGAAATCAGGAAAAAAAATTGACAGGAAAATGTCATCGACCTTCTAAACAATATGGTTCAGACTATTACTGAAAGAACTGACTAGAAAAATAAAGGCGACGATAAAAATCGTGGAGCGCGAGACCGAAACCGAGTGGGATGAGGGGACGATGATGTGATTCTGTTCTTGTTTTCTTCATCTCCACAGTTGTGTTTATTCACATATTATCACACTTAAATATTAATTGGCCGTTGAGATTAAATCACGACGAGGACAACAACGGTTGGTTTCTGTTGTAAACACCTACATCTGATGGTCACGGTGTCATGTACCGTAGGCCTACTGGGTTACACCCTGCACCGTGTATTTCTACCGTAATACATGGAGAAATACTCGGCATTACTTTTGTCTAATTATATTTTCGCATTATTTAATAACGATGACTGGGTTTCTGGCGGGTTCATTATTATGGTGAGAACACGTCACGAGTCAGGCGCCGCAACAACACAGATCTCCTCCAGCACCACCTCCTCCTCCTCCTCTTCATCACACACATCAGTACCGTGAAAACCAGCTCTCACCCAGGACAGCAATCTCAGGATGGTCTGCGGCTGTTTGACGAAGGTGATCGGGTCGATAGTGGAGCCGGTTCGGCCCGCTCCGAACGATCCCACTCCGTCCATCTTTTCTCGCTCTTTCCTTCTCTCTTCCCTTCTCTCTTTCTCCCTTCTCCCTGTGTGTGCGCTCCTCTGTGTTCCGCTCTCCCGGCTCCACGGCAGGATGATGCGCTTCTCTCGCTGCTGCTGCTGCTGAAGCTGAAGGAAACGGACCCGTTTTTGCGCGCTCCCAGAGACGCGCGGTCACAGCAGCGAGGTTGTGAGGGAGGGAGGGAGGAAGGGAGGAAGACAGAGGGAGGAGGAGAGACAAAAAGAATGTGTGATTGTTAACCTTGTGAGGCGAAGGAAAGCGTTTATAAATATTATATTTATATCATTAAAAGTTAGTAACATTATCGGACGCCATAGATCAAATTGGCAACTGGAAGTATTTCAACATGAAAATATAATGTTTATTTTGTATTGTGATGACAGAATAATTAAACAAGACTTACATTTAAGAATGACAACAGAAAGAAAACAAACAACCAATGATAATTGATAATTATAATTGACAAGTATTGACCAAAATAGTATGAGATTTATCACAGCACAGTAATTAACAGATAGTCAAGTAGTAAAGTGTGTTCCTGCATCTTGTTATGGTCTTCTCAGCAACAAAGCGTTCATTGATCAACATGATCTCAACATCTCAGGGCTGTGGCGGCCACTGCTGGTAAGAACTCCATGACTCAGTCTTTCGTCTTCTGGAAACCATCCATTAATCACAGGAACCATCTTTCCAGCCATCTCTCCACCGCTCGTCTACACGTGAGCAGTCAAACTCTGGCTTCCCCAGTCTAAGGTTGATGTCGTTATGGAGACGACAGAACCACTGGGAGAGACTGTGGCGACTGCCGGTGTCTGGCTGATTGGTCTTTAATCTGTGGAGAGTGAAATAAATGTCACATGACAACTTTGTTATTCTGTCTTGTAACTAGGTTTGTTGGAGAACTAGAGTGTTGATAACCTTGTCATTAAGTTCAACACTGCCCCGTCAGTTGACTGACCTTCCTCTGAGATCTTCTGCACATTCGTCGCATGGGAAGAATTTGGAGAAGAGGTTGATGAAGTGTCCCATCTCCTGCTGCTGGGTGGACGATGGTTGGTCGGGATAATATGCAGCCATAGTGTGCAGGAAGGACCAGGTGTTACGTCCCAGCTCTTCTCGGTCCAGGGGACACTCTGGCTCTGACTCTGTAACCGGGACGTTCTGTAGGATGAAATTAAACATGGAGCTTATCGCGGCGCGTTTGTTGTGAATGTTTTTATCGTGCTGGCGATAATATCGTCTGTCATCTGAAATAACATCATTCAAAACGAACGTAACATGTCCACAAAAGAACATGTTGAACGTCAGTGCCCTCCAGTTACCTGTGCAGCAGTTGTCGTCTGTTTCTTTTGGAGTTTCATCCACGATTTAAAGTCTGTACACACTCTACACGGCTTCTTCTTCACTCCGCCGACCTGCTCCTGTTCCTGCGCTTTACCGGAGCTTCCCCCCGGAGATCTGTCACTCACTGGAAACGGGAAACCTTCAAACCCGGGAGGACTTGAACCTGACGTTCCTCCCGGTCCTGTGGGCGCAGCCATGTTTACTGTGAAGTCACTCCGCGTTAAATAATTACACACTTATCTGAAAAACAACACATAAACGACTACTCTGTTTAGAAATATTCTCCATATGTTCAAGTAATATACTCCATTTCCGGTTATACAGTTTCACTTCCGTGGGTACCGACGACTCAGCATGTCAGAAGTGATGTAGACATGGTGCCTTTTCTTGTTTCCACCCGGACCGTTCAAAGGGACGGATCGTGTTCCGGTCGGTGATGAGGGTTGTGAGTGCATGCTGCGGAGAGAAAGCACTGTTAAAGTGTGAGTTTCTGACCCCTAACAAAATCTGAACAGCGTGACATTAAAACCATTTGATGCTTATTTAATAATGTAACATTGTTGTTTTCGAGTTTGTGCTGCGGCTGCGGCTTTTCAACTATTTAGCAGCAATGTTAGCCTATGTTAGGCTAACAACTGTGGAATGACACGTTTGTGTTTTTGTTCCTTTTCGCTCGCAGAGCAGCTGTAGCATCACCTGAACCGCCGCGATGGGTATCTTGGAAAAAATCGCGGAAATAGAGAGAGAAATCGCACGTACACAGAAAAACAAAGGTGAGCGAGCTGTCATGAGGCTAACTGTGAGCTACAGCCTGGGTGAAACTTGATGCAACCTGTATGCAAGCAGTTTGGGTTTGTTGCTTTTCAGTAATGACAAAGGGTAACGCCGTAGCTTCTGACTAATGTCTTACAGTAAACTCTGGTAATGTGCCATACCTACAGTGTCATACATCTGTCTAAGTAAAGTTACACTCTGACGGACAAAAGAGCTCATGTATTTCTCTTCCTGCAGCCACTGAGTACCATCTAGGTCTGCTCAAGGCCAAGTTAGCCAAGTACAGATCTCAGCTTCTGGAGCCCTCCAAGTCAGCGGGGGCCAAAGGTGAGGGCTTCGATGTTATGAAATCAGGTGATGCCAGGGTGGCCCTCATTGGTTTTCCCTCAGTGGGTAAGGTATGTTGACATGGTGAAAAAAATAAAAAAGTAATTTCTAACCTGCAGTTTTGTGCCAAACAATATGAGACTATGAAGTCCTTGTCCTTCAACACGTGTCATTTTGTTGTGTTCTACAGTCCACCTTCCTTAGTTTGATGACATCAACAGCCAGTGAAGCTGCTTCTTATGAGTTCACTACTCTCACTTGCATCCCTGGTGTCATTGAGGTAAGCATGAACGTTTTTGTCAGTCTACTTTATCTCTCTACTGTTAACACTTTGATAACTACCATCATGGTGTTAATTTTTTTCACCTTGGTTGTCATCAGTACAAAGGGGCAAACATTCAACTACTCGATCTACCAGGAATCATTGAGGGTGCTGCCCAAGGTACCAGCCATATATTTCTATAAACATAACATTTACCAAATAGTATACTGATGTTTGGATGTTCATTCAGGGAAGGGTAGAGGTCGGCAGGTCATTGCCGTGGCCAGGACAGCAGATGTCGTCGTCATGATGTTGGACGCCACTAAAGGAGATGTACAAAGGTGTGTGAGAGCTTCTGTGTGTGTCCAGTTTGAGTTCGTATGAATATTTGAGGGTGTTTTAAAATGAATTCTTCTTTTTTTTAATCTCCTTAGAGATCTTCTGGAAAAAGAGTTGGAGTCAGTAGGAATCAGACTCAACAGGAGGAAACCAAATATTTATTTTAAGGTACTGTCTTGGTTTTATTTCTCTAAGAAAGTAAGGGCAATGAACATCAACATCTAACAAAATTATATTTGACTGAAGAAATACATTCGTTTTTAACAAATAAAAAATGAAATGAAAATGTCTTTCTGCAGCCGAAAAAAGGCGGTGGTCTCTCCTACAACTCTACAGTTCCTCTCACCCAGTGCTCTGAGAAACTGGTTCAGCTCATCCTTCACGAGTACAGTATCCTTCAGCCAGTAGAAGGCGCTGCAGATACCAGAACAATAAAAAAACTAAAATTAGTTTATTTAATTTTCATACTTTGTTTTGTTTCTTTTTAAAAAAAAAAAAGGTAATCGGTGATGAATCATCCATTGGATAAAAAAAAATGTAATCGGTGATGAATCATCCATTGGATTTCTTTAACTTCCCTTCAGAAATCTTTAATGCTGAAGTCCTCTTCAGAGAAGACTGCTCCCCAGACGAGTTCATTGACGTCATCGTGGGGAACAGAGTGTACATGCCTTGTTTATATGTAGGTCTCAACACCCAAATAATGGAATTGCAGTTGACGTGACTGTTGAAGTGTCTTTGAGTGACAATTGTTGTTGTTGTTTTATTCAGGTTTACAATAAGGTGGATCAAATCTCCATCGAAGAAGTGGACCGTCTTGCTCGACGACCTCACAGTGTTGTCATCAGGTTTGCAAATAACCAGTTTTCTTCCTTCGTTGTTTGACTCACAGTATGGATGAAGTTGAGTGAAGCTTTTCTTTTTTTAAACATTTAGTTGTGGGATGAAGCTGAACCTGGATTACCTCTTGGAGACGCTCTGGGATTATCTGTCTTTGATTTGCATTTATACAAAGAAAAGAGGAGGTAATAATAAAAACACATTCTGGTATTTGCATCTGTCTATTTTATTTTTTTTATGAATTATCCTTTTTTTCTCAGAGCGTCCGGACTTTAACGACGCCATCATCATGAGAAGAGGAGCAAGTGTTGAACACTGTGTAAATGAGAAAAAACAAACAAACGCACGTTTAATGAACTTTGTGCTGAATAAATAAATTAACTGTATTTTTATTATTTTTCTTTGCAGTGCCATCGGATCCACAGAACCTTAGCCAGTCAGTTCAAATATGCCCTTGTTTGGGTAAGTAGCAGCTTTAATTTCTAAAGTATCTTTTTCCATTATATGAAATTAATGTGGTGGACTTGTGCAGAATTAGACAGTAATACGTTAATTGTATCGTCCAGTATTTTCCATATTTACTGATGAGAAACTTGATTCCTTAATTCCATTTTACTCTTGTCCTCTTCGTATATGAATGAGATCTTTTTTTGTGTCCCCCAGGGAACCAGTACCAAGTACAGCCCACAGAGGGTGGGGCTCACACACATCATGGAGCACGAGGACGTCATCCAGATTGTCAAGAAATAAACAAAATGAGAAGAAAACTGTACAGTAGATACACAACACCACCTTTATTATTTTGTATATGTTAATTCAACTTCTTATGAAAAGAAAACAGTTTGATTTGAGTCGGTTGCTCAGAAACAGATTCATTTTATCTGTAAAGAAGAGAGAAAGTGGGGAATAATAAATTACTTACAACTAGGTTCTTGTATGTTTTTTTTATTATTATTGGTTGTCTCCAGCACCGGTAACCAATGGATTTAAATTGTTAGTTAAAATATAAATTAATTATCTATTGTATGAACTTGGTCTATTTTTTTTAAAGTTAGACTAGTTTAAGATAGTTAAAACCCATAATTGATGTTTGAAATGTTATTAAATAACTTCAACTAAGTAGTTAAAGTTTGAATTAATTATAGAATAATTCTTTCAAAATTGTCAATATGGTGATGCATAGAGAGTAGTGACAGATGAAGTGAGGGATGTCAAATCACAACCAGGTGTTGCTAAATCATATTAACACATTGTGCGTTAGAGTCCTCAGACTAAAGCATTTTACTTTCAGATGGTATGGACTCCTGGCCAATACTCCCCATTCACTAGCACCCAGACAAACACAATAGCACCATTAAATATTCACAAGCATCTCTTTGGTCTTGGAGAGAGGGGGAATGAGTGCGACGCTAATCAGGAGAGTGAGGGAGTTAAAGAGGGAGAGTTAGGGGAAGAGTCTTTAAGCAAAACATACCTGGACTTAGAGATGCCTTGAACATGTCTCTGCAGCGGGAGTTGTGGATGGAGAGATTTGGAATCACCTGAAGGACGGAAATGGCGCAGGAATAACTTTCTGGACTAAAAGGTGACACTCAGGTACGGTTGACTAGGTGTGTACCGTGGAGCAGGCATGACACTTGATGCTACTTGGCTCCATATGGCATGGCTAACTGTGACTGTGTGTTTGTGGTGCCAGTTAGCATTAGCATTTGTTTGGTTAAGCCTTGTTCTTTTATGTGGTTTGTTGACATTGTTTTATTGCTTGAAAGCCGAATGCTTGAAAATGACTTTATACTTTCTACACAGTCAAAAGCGTTTTATTGCCATTTTTACTTTAATAACATTAAAAACATACACATTTGAAATTTGACCTCTTTAAAACAAGCTTTTAACACCAGAGGCGATTCAGATCGTAGCAATTAACAAAACGAATATTACAGAAAAATAATAGGCGTAATTACAGATAAAATACTCATGTTACACTTGTTGCTTGCTTAACCAAAAAACAAACAAAAAAACCCAACACATTTAAAAATAAACAAGTGTAATTAAATAATTGACCACAGAGTTAGTACAGGTTCGCCGTCAGCAGCCATCTTTAACATTTGAATAACAAAATGATTTAATTGGAAACCAGTCCTCCAGACGATGCTAGTATCCACCAGTCTAACATTGTCCGCTGGATTTGCTTGTTTTTGAGTAAAGACAAGTTGTCACGGTCGCAAAATATTGATATTTTTTTCCTGTTTGCACTAAAAGTCCTAACCAATTACATTCTGTTTTCCAAGCAGGCTAATTAGCATCTCGTCTCATTCATAAACGGAAGAAAAGATCGTTAAGAAATAATAAATAGACAACAATCTGCCATTAGGTGATTATTCACGTTATTGAGTTTCTTCTAAAGAAAGTCAATTTGTGTAAGGATTCAATCAATACAATTACTTAAGCAACATTCTGACTAAATTTAAAGAATGAAGGCCGCCATAACATTTATAATTAATTTTGGACCGATCGGGCTGCTAACTCTGATTACTTGGTCTTTTCTGCCCTCTACCGCTGGAGTCTGGTTATTGCAGGGAGTCAGTGCAATGACGTCAGCAGGTTGTAACAATAATGTTTGATAGTACTGCAGCTATACTGTTATTAACGCATTCAAATTATTTACTTACGGTTAAATAGGTTGGGATTATTATTTGAATCTGTACAATATTACATACTAAAATGTTTATTATTACTGTACCATATTAGGTTCCCTCAACTCAGTGAAATTACGACATTTAAAGGGAAATTCATGCCTAGAGTAAATCTTAAAATTGTGTTCTATAACACAAAAATATAGGCCGGGATCAATGGGCTACTTTAAGCAATAGTTTTATGTAGATGTTGTCTTTAGTGTTTACTAAATAGTGGGTCAGGGCCTACAAGTGGGTCAAGAGCCTGATGTGAAAATAACATCTATTTACATTTAAAAACTTTATTGAGTTTAACTTTAAGTTGAAAAAAAGCTTGTATTTACATTTAAAAACTTTATTGAAATAATTAAAGTTTAACTTTAAGTTGAAAAAAAGCTTGACAATTTGAGGACAGCATCTAAGCACAAGTCCTTGTGTGTATGTTTGAAGGTTTGCGTGTGTGTGAGAAAGAGAGAGAGAGAGAGAGTGGCAGAGAGAACATAATAGCCTTTTGTGGCAGATGTGTATGTCAATTGTGATAAGGATACACAGAACACTGGTGTGAGAGGATGATAGCGTACACTGTGTTTGTGTTTGTGCTTGCACATGTGTGAGTGTGTCCCGCCCCTTACTGCACAATGGACTCACCCATTTGTCCACTGGGGCTCTTCCGTGGAGCCGGACAGGGTACACAGCACATGTATGTGCCGCCTGTTTACGTAGAAACCTAATCAGTGCAGTGCTGGTGTTGAAAGTAGACTGTGAGCCGATCCTCCTCTGTTTGTAGTCCGATCTGTGCTGAAGATGACGGACAGATTATCATTAAAGGTTCACTGAAGCAGAAAGCTGTGTGTTTGCCATCAATGGTACCATTGTATGTTCAGCTGGTTCATGTTATTAGGGAAAAATAAAGTGAATGATGTGTTTTAAAGTGTGTGTTGGTGTATGTGTGTGTGTGAGAGGGAGAGAGACAGTGTGTTGGGCGGTGTTTAAGAGCTATAAAACCCCCCCAGCGAGGGTCCTAAAGGTTAGCAGGAATCAGAGCAGCATCACAGAATCTAAGTGAGGCATGGAGTTTTTGACATTTTGACATTTGTGGAATTTTTTTTTATACATTCAAAAGAATACACAAGGTAAGCTAATTATCACCCTAGTTAATTTAGAAGGAGTAAACGTCATGGATTTAGCTTGAGATTACAATATTCTTTTCTTTATTCTTTATTCTAATTTTACTGTACAAATTAAAAAAATAAAAATAAAATAATAATTAATAAAAAGTATTAATTAATAAAAATAATAATAGAAAAAATATAGATTTGAAATCAAATCTACTTTATAGTCTGAAATGTTACATTTTGGACCATGTAATTTCAAGGATAAGCTTAAAAAATACGAAACACCTTTTTAAAGTACAACGTGATGCCTTGATTTTTAGCAGGTCATGGTTTGCTGTCACACTGTCTCTGTTTTCCCACTGTGACAGGTCTGCATGTGTGTACCTGTCTTCTCATGTTTTTCTATTGTCAAACTCTATAATAATCCAGGCAGTGTAGCTTTATACATGAATGGGGATTAAAGGCTTATATGAAACCTGAGTCAGCAGCTCATCGCCCTCCTGTCTCACCCTCTCTGCATTTGAAGGCTACTGCAGACCTGTCTGCCTGTGTTTGAACATGTATTGCACAGCTGCATAAAACATTCACGGGGGCAAATAAAAAGTAGACGAATATTTCTGACAGGCATCAGTGTCTTTAATTGAACTGTTAGGAGAACTTCAGGTGACGTAATGAAGATGGTGATTTTGGTGTGTCGCTGCAGTTCAAAAACTGGTCCGGAGTTAAATGTCGTTTATATGGACAAATAAAGTGTGCAAGATTTAGCACCATCTAGTGGTAAAGTTAAATTTTCTAGTCCACTTTCCCTCACATCAGAATTCCTTTTTTAGAATGCTATACGTTTACAATGGCCTTTAAGCTCTGAATGAACCACAAAATATATTTAGTTAGATATTTGTGTATCAATGCAAACAGAAATAAATACTAACATTAAAAAATACAAAAATGTTTTTTCCCCTTGAAAACCTAATTAATTGCTGAAGTGCTAAACAAAGAGGAGTAAAAGCTAAGCTAAAATCTTAAAAAGCTATTTGGATGGTACTTTCTAAAATGTAATTTAATAAAAACATTTTGACACATGCCCACTTATCTAATTATAGTGTGTTAGGACTTCTAGTCCCTTTAGATAATTATGGGTCGATGCTGCATTCATCAACCTCATGCAAGCTCCATTGTGAGTCTTACCTGTGTGTGTGTGTGTGTGTGTGTGTAGCTTCATGTGCATTAAGTTGTGCATGTGTGTGTCATCTAATGAGCCTGTTGGCTCCACTCTGCACAGGTGATCTTCTTTATTAGTTTTGTCGCTGAGTGCGTCTGCTGAAAGCGCCTTGTCGTTGATTGGCACGTGTGAGCAGCGACTTCTCCTCACCTTAAACTGCCGCTCTCCCTCATTACTCCTGTGTCATGTTTCTCTTTCCTGGCATCCCTACATTTAACTCCACTTCTAACTCATTTTCGACTTTCTTTGGACCCAGGGGTTCCAAACATCTGGCCTGGGGGCCTCTTCTGCCCCGCTAATCCCCCACATCAGGCCCGTGAGGAGATTTTGTTCATGAGACAATTTTTTTTCCACCTGTCAATTCTTTCATGTGACTTTCTTCCCCTCTGTATATTCAAAGTTTCTGTATCTGTTGCTCAGTTCATTAATGCACTATTTTAGTCTCAAACATGGATTTGCATTTTCTGAAATTTTCTATATATTTATTTTGCCAGCTAGCCTCGATCATTTTGCTTCCAACCTTTGACTTAGCTAATGTGTGTCATATATTGGTTAAGGAGCACCCCTGGGTGGAGTTAACCCTTTGTGATATATTTAGAGCCGCTGGCGATGAATGTTTTATCCATGCTCTGTCGGCAGAACACAGGGCAGTCATTAAACATTCATATCCGCCACTGAGATGACCTCCTGGAATATCAGCCCGTTATCAAAGAGCTAACTTTGAGGTATCACAGTGGTGGTAACATCAGCATCAGCGTTTCTGTAACGATGTTAAATCGTGTATGTAAACCAACACATGAAGTATGTAAATGTGTGGCTCTGTCTGAGAATGAATTTAAGTAGGAAAAAAAACCCAGTAGTTTAATTCCTTTGAATATACATAAATCTGAATCTTTTATTTTCATATCCCATATTAATAACACATATTTTGTATCAACATATATTACATTTTTTATATGAAAGTAAAATTCTGACCAAAAAAAACTACATCACAAGGGAATAAATTGAATAAAGTACATATAGTAAAAATTACATATAATTACAAATAATTAAATATTTGCAACAAGACAAAGTTGTACATGTCATATTTACAATTGGAAACTCAAAACAGGAAACACAATCATTTATCTTCCAGAGTGATAGGGGAACTAGAATTAGCCGCAGGAGTAAAGCAGCACCATGGACAGTTCATGTCCATCACAAGGCCACATATACAGACAAACAATTCATTACACTGACACGCATGTCTGGGGTCAATTTAAAGTGACTGATAGTAACTTAATCTTCAATCTGCATAACCTTGGATGGCAGTAAAAAGGAAGATTGAAGATCTGTTTAGCTGCATGACTGAAGAGTCAAACCTGAAGTCAAAGTTATCTTCTTCTAGGTCTTTCATTGTGTCCAGCAGCAAATGATATACAGTAGAGCACCATTTAGACTCAGGCTTTGGTCCATGTCACTCCTACAGGTGTGTGTGTGTGTGTGCATGTGTGTGTGTTTCACGTAATATTCCCAGTTTAGCAACAGCTCAGTCGACCTGTATTATTCATGCAGGAGCGAGTCTGCAGATAAGGTTACTCTGACGCAGTATAGCTGTCGTATTA